TCACGATTCGCGAGGATTTCGCGGCTGTCGCGACAGTTCGCGTTGCCACGGCAACGCGTCTAGCGTCGTTATTCGTGACGTTCGCCTGCGCGCAATTTCGGCGGACGTTACAGTAACATAATTTTCAGTTAAATCATTCATTACTTTTAATTTCGTTCATAACTACAAGATCATTTACATGTAAAGGAAGCTCGTGGTTACATTTCTAATAGTGTACTATATAATAATTATAATCTTTCATATAAGAGGTACATAAGTAAGCGAATATCGACATAGGAGTTGTGCTCAGTGGAAAAGTGGCAGCCTCGTAGAGCAGACTTGGAGACCAGGCCTCGATTTGGACCTCGACAGGAGCGGAGCTGATTTTCTCGTGCTATCGGTTATGCCTTACGACGAGTAATTTCGAGTGGTGAAAACGTGCAATGTGAGTGACGAGTGCAAAATGAGTATTTTGTACTCGTATAAGTTTTTTCACTCAAATTTACGTTTTTACCACTCAAAAATACTCGTAAAGTATACGTTTTTACCACTCTAATATACTCGTGTTCTGCATGAGTGCAATCCGTTTTAACCACTCATTTTTACGGAAACGTTCCTGTTAGCGACCTAAAAACGGAGTCATACTCACTGAGTAAAATGCACGTTTTCACCAGGGTTGGTAAAAAACATGTTTTGAACGTGTATTAAACAGTTTAAAACATGCTTAATTGATGTTTTCATTTATTTTAAATATGTTTTTTTATAGCACTGTTTAAAGCATATTTGAAGCATTAAAAACATATTCAAGACGAAACACAATATATTTTATTCTTAAAAAAAAACATTAGTCTTTACCAACCCTGGTTTTCATCACTCAAATTAATCGTTCGCGCGGGCTAAAAACGGGCTAAAAACGGTGAAAAATTTTTATAAGGGAAATTATAATAAATATTTAAAAATATTTATTATTATTTATCATATAAATGTTTGCAATTTGTGGAGCTTGCAATTTGTGTAGCTTGGACACGCACAACGTCCATTACGATTTTATCGGCGTATCACAAAAGAGGATGTGGTAAGTAGTTCCCGTATTTCGAAAATATAAAGTTATGCAAATTAACAAAGTTCCGCAAACTGCCTCCATTTTGGCTCCATGACGCGCAGTTATTCAAAACTTCAGCCTCTTTCACTGCGGTTTTTGCAATTTTCAACACAGTAAGCGGGCATTTTCAATAAATAACAGTATCAGATTCTTCTTCTTCTTCTTCCAGATCCCTGAATAGATTTCAGACCTTTTAACAGAATCAGGTTAAAGTAGCACTTCGACGCCATTTTGGCTCCAAATGCTAATTCAGTGAATTTTCTAATCGTGCTACTTTTGTAGTATAAGAAAGAAACGATGGAAATCTCTTTTTGTTGAAAAACTTCTCTTTATTCAGCCTCTTGTTAACACACACCGTACATCCTACTACTCAGCCCCAAGCTACTCTCTCCTCCACTTTTCCTCTCCGGCTACACTCCTGCTACACTCACACCCGCTCTCGCAGTGCCACCAACCTCCACGGCTACATTCGGCCAATTCTGACCGTCTGTCGTCCCGACCAGATAATGGAAGAACACTCTCGAATTTATGTTTTACATAACTGAGTGAGAGTCTGAGCGGGACTTAATATAAAAACAAAACAAGCGATTGCACAACTATTTACTTATGATAATTATGGATTAACATTAGTTATTAGCTAAGTTATACATCGATCTCTTTAACCAAGCGGCGTTCCCCTTATTGCTGACGCCATGTTCGTAAGTTAGAGGCCTGCCAGACCCCTCGGTAAGGGCGGAGGGTGTTCTGAAACCCATCCACATCGGTCACTACGTACCTGTCGTTGCCTAGTTTCTTTGCGATCTTGTACGTTCCCTTAAATACCGGTACGAGTTTTCGTGCGGCTCCCGGCGTGTTATCAAAATTCTTAATGGAAACCAAATCGCCTACTGAATAATCGTATGCCGTTTTACGCTTGCTATCCGCATATTCTTTGTTATATTTCTGTGATCTTAAAATCCGGTCAGACGCGTTCGTTCTTATTTCATCTAAATCGCAACGTTCTCGCTCTATCTCATTCCGCAAATGCTTTCCTAAATTATCCACCGATCTGTCTCGTTGTTTCACTCCGAATAACAGTCGACTGGGGGTTTCGCCCGTTATTCTACTTACCGAGTTGTTCAACGCATATTCGACATCGGGTATGATTTTATACCAATAATTACCTGTCGCGTCATCTGACAACTTAGCCAGCATCGGAGTCAGAGTTCGGTTGATTCTCTCGACCTGGCCGTTGGCCTGCGGAGATCCTGTGGCTATCTTAACGTGTTTTATCCCTTGATACTTTAAGAAATTCTCGAATTCAGTACTCGTAAAGCAACTACCTCTATCCGTAACTATTGTCTCCGGTCGTGAGTAATGTTCGAAGTACTGTCGCAAACAGTTGATCGTTTCTTTGCTAGAGGTTGTTTTAACTGCGTAAAGTTTGACGAACTTCGTAAAAGAGTCCACCGTAACCAGGAGGTGTTGCTTGAGTGGCCGTTTCTTGTCAATTGGTCCTAAATGATCAACGTGCAGAGTGCCGAAGGGGAGGTCCCCTTTAGGTATCGAATGAATCAGTCCCTCGGCTCTTCCACTAACTGGGGAGAACGTGATACACTTTAGGCAATTCTTAATATGACAATTTACCTTTTTACGGAGCTTCGGGAACCAATAACTCCCGAGGATTGCCTGAGTCGTTTTCTCGGTCCCTAAATGGCCTAGTTCGTCGTGGTATTTATACAGGATATTTCTTTCCATTTGTTGTGGTACGTAAAATAATAATTTATTATCATACTTGCGATAAACTAGCCCGTTTCTTAATTCATAAAATTGGCTTTCCGCTCGCTCCAATTGATCCCGGATTTTCAAGATTTCCGAGTCCTGTCCCTGATATACAGTTATACTCCATTCCATGGGGTCTTCTTCCACTACGCAAATAGTCCGGCTAAGGGCGTCTACATGACGCATGCGCGTACCCGCCCGATACTCTAGTTCATAATCGAAATCTAACAACGCGATTGCCCACCGCTCGACTCTACGATTGACGTCCCGTTTCTTCAAGGTCATTGTGACTGCGCTACAATCCGTCAAGATCTTAAACTTTAATCCTTGAAGGTAAATCCTGAATCGTTCCAGGGCGTAGATTATAGCTAGTGTCAAGTTCGAAGCTATGCAACTTTGCTTCTTTATCGGTCGTTCGCCTGGAAAAATAAAATACCGGGTGCATTTTCCCGTCCGATTTTCTCTGCATGAGAATCGCCCCATAACCTACCGAACTGGCATCACAGTGCAACTCTGTTAAGTCGTTCGGGTTGTAAATTGCTAAAATTGGAGCTTCCGTAAGTCTAGATTTTAATGTTATAAATGCCTCGTACTCTAACTTCCCGAACCTGAACGTCGCGTTAGCTTTTGTTAAATCATACAGAGGTTTGGCGATAGCCGCGAAATGCTCAATAAATTTCCGGAAATACGAACAGAGTCCAATGAAGCTGCGTACGTCTCGTGTGTTCTTTGGGATAGGGAATTTTTCAATAGCTTCCACTCCCCGTCGCGTTGGCCTCACCCCTTGTCCCGAGATCATGTATCCGAGATACTCTATTTCTGTCTGCAAGAAATAACATTTGTCGATGCGTAACTCTAAATGATTTTCCGACAGGGTCTTAAACACGCGCTTTAAAATCTCCAGGTGGTGCTCTAGCGTCTCGGTCGCTACCAAGATGTCGTCCATGTAGATCGCCATATCGCCCGCCCTGGTAAATTCGGTTAACGCGAGATTTATATAGCGTTGGAATGCCGCTGGTGCAGTACGGAGTCCGAAAGGCATCCTCAGCCACTCATATTGGCCTAATGGAGTCACAAACGATGTATATTTGATTGACTCTTCCGCCATCCGTACATGGTGGAATCCGTCCCTTAAATCTAATAATGAAAAATATTTCTTGTTTGCCGCAATTGTTAATTGGTCCTCGATGAGAGGCATCGGGTAATTGTCCCTAGCGGTAACCTTATTAAGGGCCCGATAGTCAACACACAAGCGTAGCATTCCGTTCTTTTTTTCCGTGAGTACAATAGGGGATGCGAACTCTAAGTCGCTGTCCCGTATATACCCCTTTTCCAAGAGACCGTCTAGTATTACTCTAAGTTTCTGCTGCCTGTCACACGAGAGTTTACGTGGTGTACTGTGAAATGGTTCCGTCTGCGTTAGCCGTAACCTCAACTCCGACCTTGTTTTAGGCTCTATCGGTTTGGGAGCGTCTGCGTAAAATTCCCGAAACATTTGTTTTAATTCTCTTTTAGCATCGTAGGGCACCGTCGGATTTATTTGTAAGTCATCCGCCCGGCTATCTTTGTTTTCGATGATGAGAATATTCGCGAATTCCCGTTTGACAACGTCAGCTGTGGGGACTATTAATTGAAACCCGAATTTTCGCAAAATATCCCTGCCTATTAATGCTGGTGTCAACGTCGTATTCTCGGGTGCTACGTACATGCGGAGTTTCTCTCTAACATCGTTGTCTATTGTCACCGTCGCGTAAACCTTACCTAAGAAAGTTAACATTACACCCTTGCATCCGAAATAATCGCGATCCGACGCATCTAATGGAACAATAGCCCGCTTGTCAACAAAACGTTCTTTCATAAAGCTAATGGGGCTACTCGTGTCCAGGAGCGTATCTAAGCATAATACTCGCCGTACACTAGAGTCCTCTAGTTCGTAAGTAACTGTCTTTCTGTGTTCAACACTGCCCTCCTCCTCCGGATCCTCGTAGACGCTGGAAACCTGCGGAGCTTCCTCTCCTTCCTTCGAGCTCTTACTCGGACAGCTTGCCGCCATGTGTCCGAATTCGCCGCAGACATAACAGGAGCCTCGTTCCCTCCGGGGTTTCTGACAGTCTTTCGCTACGTGTCCCGGCTGATTGCAGTTGTAACACTTGACTTGTTTTTCGCTCTTCTCTTCTTTGATCACCTTCGGCTTCTGTGGCTTAGTTTCAGTACTCGTTTTCGTATTCGGATTCTCGGCCGTTTTCTCAGCTCCTTGAGATGCGTTCTTCTTCGATCGATTCGAGAGGGAGATCTTCCGGAATCCGCTCAACAGGTCCTTCACCTCGTTGAAATTTTGCATTCGTGCTTGGTTTCGTAATGTTGAGTCTGGTATCCCGTCGATTAGAAAGTCCACCAGGTCGTCTTCCTGAATCGGCACTAGGTTGCCTAAAATAAGCTTCTCGTGGTAATAGTTGTGGAAGGACTCGTTCGTCTGCCACGTTCGTGCTTCGAATTTCTTGAGACGATCCACCCTGCTCGGCCGCTGGTCAAATCCGTCCTTCATTGCCGAGAGCAGTTCATCGAGTGTCATTTCGGTATGTTCCGATTTTGAGCGGAACCATCTTTCTGCTTTTCCTTTAAGTTTCGAGCTAATGACTATCTTCATAATTGCATCTTCTACCGCAAACAATCTTTTAACGAGTCGGACTTGCTTCTCCCACTCTTCGAAGTGGCGGTTATTTCCATCGAACTCGCCTAGCAAGTCTCCGATGCCCTTGACGTCAGCTCGTAATTGTGGCGTCGCTCGTGGTTCCGTCCGTTGCTGGAACTGTCCTCCTGATTCGCCCTCGTAATGTCCAATCGCTGGATTCCCTCTGGTCGCCAGTTCTAGTTCTCGTTGCATTAATGTTGCTTCTCGCTGTGCGAGATCCCGTTCTCTCTTTGCCAACTCGAGCTCTTGGCGCAGGAGTTCGTTTTTTTCTCGTTCGACTTCCAGCTGTTCGTCCTCTCGTTCATCACCGTCTCTGTAGCCGAGCCCGCTTTCGTCCATCCACGTTCCGTCTGGATCTGCTTCCATTAATCTCTTAATTATTTCGCTTTTCAGTCCGTACGACGGCACGTTGTATTTCTTCGCTATCTCCTTAAGTTCAGCTACCGTAAATCTATTTGCTTTCTCCATAATGATGGCGGTTCTCACTACACGCGCTCGAAAATAAACATAAAATAGGACTTAATTGTTCGTGACTATCGATTTCGTACTTATCGATCACGTAAGGTGTCTTTCCGCACTACACGGTCGCAGGCCCGAATTATCACCCGATAAGTAGTGTCCGTCTTACCGATTGTCGTTGGATATCGTCCGCGTCAGACGGCAGCGCCCTGTCTCGTAGCGTACGAAAGTTCTCGAATAACCCCTATACGCGTCCGATCCAAGATGGCGGAAAATTTGCGTTCCCGGTCCTTTTCGCGCACAAGATGGCTTGCTTCTCACTTCTGCCCGTAACCTAACGTAATGTTCTCATAAACCGGCCGATCCACTAACCCGTTGATCCGGCACACATAATTAGTCTCGTAATTCACATAAGTCCGTTTCCGATGTACGGTTTACATAAATTTAATGTCGATGCGCGGCTCGTACGTTGCACACCGATCGACGTTCGACAGCTCGTCGCTGTACTTAACTCCGCCTTCTTAACGCGAGACTTTTCCTCGTTGTCCTTTCTGACCAAGTTCGCGGAGGCATCCCACTTTTGATTTGTAGTATAAGAAAGGAACGATGGAAATCTCTTTTTGTTGAAAAACTTCTCTTTATTCAGCCTCTTGTTAACACACACCGTACATCCTACTACTCAGCCCCAAGCTACTCTCTCCTCCACTTTTCCTCTCCGGCTACACTCCTGTTACACTCACACCCGCTCTCGCAGTGCCACCAACCTCCACGGCTACACTTTGTTAATCTAGTGATTTTAAAAATCACCCGAAGTCACTAGATTTATAAAGTACCGCAACTCGCATTCATTTTTTCGTAAAATGCGGCCATTTCAAATTTACGCATCATATATACGTACTTTATTTGTGAAAATGAAGCCGTCGAGTATGTAAATCAATGTTGTTGAATTGTAATTAGTTTA